ACATATTTCTGTAACAAATTAACCTTTTTCATTTTCTTAAATATACACATTGATCTGGCATTTTTAATGGTATTCTTCATGTAGTGAATTCACTCAGAGCAGGTAGAGTATCCAGAAATTTTACTCAAGTAAAAGTAGAAATACTTCCTTGTGGCACACCAACAAAGTTAGCAAGTCGAACTCATGGCTGCCTCTTGGGGAGCCAGCCATAAACACCACCTAACAACCCCACCTCATCCCCCCTTTGCCCCTCTAACCACCGCTTAATCAGGTGGGGGTCAGGAGGACCCCASCACCACACCAAACATGAGTGGGCTCGTATGGATCCCACTAAGACAGCGGGAGGGTTGAGTAAAAAAAAACCCACAGAGTATTAAAAATACTCTTAAATGTACCAGTACTTTGTTTTTTTTTTTTTTCAAAAGGTTACTCAAGTAGATATAACTGAGTAAATGTACACAACTCTTCCAACAGTCAATAAAATACTATTAAAATAATAATAATTTACTAAATGTATTCACCTGTTGAGCTTTGCTCTCTGTCAGGTTGTGTTTGGCTGACAGGGAGCGTCCCGCCTCCACCCAGATCCCCTCCATGCTTTTGATTCGTTGTTGGATCCAGGTGAACTGGCTTTTATCCCCCAGAGTTTGGTACAAACCTTCTAAACTGTGACGTAAAACAGCTCTGCCTGCTCCTGGCTGAGAATGTGAAAAAAGAAACAAAACAAACAGTTATCCGATGGGGCAGCCTTGGACCTGAAACATCTATTTGGCAAAACTGATTCGCAGAAAAGCAAAAAAAATCAAAGTGGGAACTGCTACTTTGGGCAATTTTGTTAATTTTGGTTCTGAAGCTGATCAAAGTAGGAGTTAAAAAACATTTAAAGTCTTCCTAGAAATTGTAGAAGTTCTCTTATTTTGCTACAAAAAAAATCAAATGGAAATTCTGCAGCTGTATGAGCCATGCACACAGTTCTAATTTATTTGGACTTTACCGTTTCCCCTGCAGCTGGTGGTCTCTCTCGGCCTGAAAGAACCGGACACCAGGACTCGACCTTGACGCAACAGAAAACAGAAAATATAGGAGCAGTTACACAAACAAAATATCACTTCTCTCCTTCAGACAAACGACTCACTTGATATTCTCATTGAGCAATGCTCCTTTTAAAGTATTACTGCAGCCTGAGCAGCGAGGCGTTTGCTTATTATTAGAAAAGGTTTCAAACGGCCCACCCTGCTGACCAATACACAAACAGACCCCAGTTTAGCAGGGCTGACATCGCCTCGCGTTTGGACTCAAATTGCCAACAGCTCGTGTGTTTAACACCACCTGGGTACCTCGCTGAGGTAAATGATGAAGGAGCACAGCGACCCGTTCACACCGTAGCTGCTGTAGCACGGGTCGCTCTTCCACATGTCCTTCATCCACTGCAGCCACGGACACACAAACACAAACACACACATATTATCACACTCAGTTCAGTGCAACAAACATCCATATACAGTGGTTTGCAAAAGTATTCATACCCCTTGAACTTTTCCATATTTTGTCACATTACAACCACAAACATAAATATA